TCTGCAAAATTCTTGTCTTCTTGCTTTCTTTGCTTGTGATAAGATGTTTCCTGTCATTTAAGCTCCACAAGATCTACAGCAAGAAACTCCTATGCTTCCCACAAGTCAAGTGCTCTTGTGTTATTGTGTTAACTGAGTATATGTTTTTATCAGTATAAATCAGAGCAATATTGTTGTGCTCAGACCATCATCTCTTGTGTATTTGCTAGTCACTGAAATTTATATTTCCTCTCCTAAGTACCAGTATTGAGCGATAGTAATTGATTCCAGAAACCAAAACCTTCTGCTAATTTTGACTTGGATGAATGACATAGGACTATCAGCATCTGTACCACTGGCTTAAGTATGAAGTTCAAATTTTGATAAGAATAAGAATGAACCCTTTACTTTCATAGTTTAAAAAGAAATAACATAAAATTTCTTTGACTGTTCCATCTAGTATTTTAATTGGACACTGATGGCTTATATTTATCATTGTTCATCTTTTAGGCTGGGGTGATTGAGGAGTTTGTGAATGATGCTGTTGATTCAGCACTAGATTTTGATGATATAGAAGAAGAGATAGAAGAAGAAGTTGATCAGGTCTTGACAGCAATTGCAGGTGAGACTGCTGCACAGCTACCTGAAGCAGTCAGAAAGGAAAAGGCGAAGCAGCCTCCTCAGACAGCAGGAACTGCACAAGAGGTATGTGTGACACAACTGTCATATTGTGAGTTCCCCATTTGTTTTCCTTTCTACTTTCTAAGGAAGCTCATGATTGTTGAACTTTAATTGACTATCGCAGGAGGAAGCCATTGCTGAGGGTGTTGATGACGAGGAAGAACTAGAAGCAATAAGGGCCCGACTTGCCAAAGTTAGGTCATAACTAAACTCTGTCTTGTCTCATTTGTCCGTCAGAGTGTAGAAAAATGTGAGTACATTAATGTGCATATATCCTCATGATAAAGGTTATAATTTCCAGTCTAACACCAAGAAAGAACACTGAGAAAATATTTTTGTATGTGCAAAGCAGCATTTAACAAACTAGCTAGCTGCTATCCGTGTAATATTGATCGATCATTAAGTAATCATCTGATGGTGATTTGTAACATAGTAATAAGATTAGACATGTTGTGTCTTCCTTCTATTCTTAATGATTGAGTGGAAATTAACCATATTAGTGAATTGTCGCTTGTTATTTTTCTAATTATTAGTAGTTCAGTGACATATATAAACTTAAGAGTGTTATTTTTCTTATTATTAGTAGTTAAGTGACATATATAAACTCAACACGGTCCTGTTGGATCTATCTAGGACTCTGGTCCGTTTAAGCTCCAGGGCTGGCGGAGGATAAGCTTAGTATGGCGTGCGGGGCCAAGCTTATTTGGGTTTTAATCATATTAGACCTAAACACGTTTGGTGTCTCACTTACTTTTGAGTAATATTACACCAATAACCATTTCTTACAAATTTTCTTTCATAACTATGATGTGGCAGTTCACAATTGGTCAGTTTGTAATTAAGTAATGGGATTCATGCCAGACTCATGTGGGATTCATGCCAGACTCATGTGGGATTCATTATAAACTGATCAATTACGAACTGTCATGTTAGATTGTGAGAGAGGGTTATTTGTGTAGTATTATTCTCTACTTTTTTTTGGGGTTTCTTGTAACAATGTAATCTGTGTGTTTGGTCTATATTTATCCATTGGAATTTAGATTACGTGGCTTTTGTGTTTTCATCTATGTCAATACCTATTACCTAATTCTAATTCAATTCTGCTAGACGACAAGAATCTGCTCAACTAGATTTGGGCAAAATGCCTTTACAAAATATCCAACTTTAGATTTCTTTTTGAAACGTCTTGCTTCCAAGACTAAAATCAAATCACATCTCAAAAGCATTTACGGCGTTCAAACTTCAAAGTCTAAGCACCTTCGCTAAACTTAAAAACTTAATATTTCCGCGCCACCCTTCGCCTCTTGATTCATATTCTGAATATTAAATTTTCTTTAAAAGCAGCAAACATCCTAGACTCCAACTTATTTTCAGTTAAGAAGCTCATAATCTCCAGAAAGATTTTGTTGATGCCCTTTGCATCCTTGGTTGCAAAAGGTACAACAATCACAGAATCGACCCAAAATATTCTGTAAAAATAACTCATTTTAATTGTTTATAATACACAAGACGCGAACTAACACAACATTTGTTTCTGCACAATTTCAACTTAAAATTTTAAGTTTCTTCGTACATTTACATTTGGTGTGAAACCATTTTCATCATAAAGAACATCAAAAGGGAAATTGCTTACAAAAGAACAATTTACTTTTACAAAATTTAAACGTTATCATTCTTTCTTCACGTTTTATAACAAGCATGAGTAATTTTCACGTTGCATTGTTGTCTCATGCATCATTTCATTTTGTTAATTTTCTCGTTGGTTTTTAAATACACATAAAGCCGCAATATATTTTTGTGCATTTATCACTCCTTGATTTCTAAATAATATACCCACTTTAGCTGCTTCTCGGACACCTAAAGTTTTGCTTTAGCAAAGAGCAAAACAAAAGTTGTTATTTCCTTATATATACGTTGCCAAGTACGAGGAAAGATTTTCAGTTTAACTATCATTTGTTCTCGCATTTGAATATCAAAAGATTTTACTTTCTCTGTTTTAGAGATTTAACAAGGAAGTTATACAAAGATGCATGGGTTGATTGATATTGATAACGATAAATCCTTTTAAAAGTGTTTGATTTTTTTATGTAAAAGATAGATTTAGACAATCTCCTTCTTTTTAACTCTATACGTTATTTATTGGTTCAGAGCTTAATGTCTCTTCATGGGATAAACATAAAATATACACCGTCCATAACTTTGCACATTTGTTGGTCATTGACATCTAACAATTTGACATCATCTATCAGCCTCTGAATTTTCTGCCAGCCAAATTTTCATATTTTAAGTTTACTAAATCAAATAAAGAGAAATATATTGTAAACTGGAAGAATGAGAATTTTTTTTTTTAAATTTGTGTAATAGACTCTTGACCAAGGAGAAAAGGTGCCCTGTTAAAGTTGACTTGGTGAAGGCCTATGACTCAATTAATTGGAGTTTTCTTCTTGAAATCCTCAATCATTTTGGCTTCCCTATTACTTTGATCTCTTGGATTGCTAGTTGTATTACTTCTCTCAAATTTTCGGTGGTTATCAATGGAGAACTTGTGGGCTTCTTTGGTAGCACTAGAGGATTGATGTAAGGGGATCATTAATCTCCCAATCTTTTTGTAAATTTCGAATCCCCACAACTACTAATAAGGGATAATCATTTGAGGCTTATTTGGCCGTTAACTTCAGGATCTTGGGAGACTAGTTGAAGTGTGTACAAACTGACTCAGACACCCTCGATACCAAAAGAAGAATGAGATTCATTACTAGAAAAACTGCATTTTCATGAGAGTTTTTTCTCGACAGTCTTATGATTTAGTGACTGCTTTTAAAACTATCAAGAGGTTTAGACAATATTTTCATGCTTCTCGGTTTTTTTTTCTCTAATGTAAAAAATTTTAGAGGTATTTGGTTTGTTGAAGAGTTGATTAGTGGGTCCAGAGGGAGTGGTGACAGGGATGATCTAGTTTGTTCCGAAGTAACTGTTCCAGTATTTTGAGTAAAGACAAGTGGTTTTGATAGTTTCCTTCATGTGGGTTCCATTTCATAAGCACTTATAGCTTTTGATTAATTTTCACTTCCATCATTTGCGTCTGAATGTTTTAAAGAATTCATGTCTTGCACGCCAAACACTTCCTCCATATCTAAACCACCTACCTTTCTCTTTTAATCTTTGGTTCTTTTTTTTTTCAATATATTGTTTTGAAAACAACAATTATAGGTTAATGTTTGTCTATACATTTATGCAGAACAAAATGACGTTGAAATAATAAATAAAATGAGGAACCTTCTATTTACTGGAAGTCTTTTATATGCTTGATGAAACAATGTCCATCAGTTCATGTCCCTTGCTTTATAAATGTAGAGTTTTCGATGAAGAGGAAAAAACAGAAATGACAATGGCTTTATTTTACACAAAAATTAATACCATTAATGCTAAGCTTATTAATTTCTTAAAAGACAATGTTTTTCTTATTTCTATATTTAAATCAATGAAAAATGTAAGAATTACGAGACAGTGAATCAATGTCTAGCATTGATGTCTAACCTTTGAAGTCAAGTTATTTCTGTAATAAAATGTTTGGATTGAGTTTAAGGAATAGTTTCCTATTGCTGGATAAGGTTGCTACTAGTATAAAGTATAAACCTTAACCTTGCTTTCAAAGAATAAACTTAAAAAAAATTTCTAAATATAATGCAGATATGCATCATGATTCATGAATGCTTCATTTCAAGTTCTGTAGATTCTGTGTGAAATCAGTTTTCTTAAAACAAAACTGAAATGAAAAATAAGAAAAGCACTTTGGTATTGACATTCTTTAATCATGAATGGGGTAGTTAAATTATTGTGTTTACCTACTAAATTGACTTGTAAGATGAGATCTTGGAATAGTACCAAAATTTTGAGAGCAAAAGAAAGAAAGAAATAAATAAAACTATCGAACTGTTTCTTGCGTATCAATTCTAATTGATATTTATTTGTAAAAGAAATAACTCTGAATTGGTGGGAAGAGAGGTGAAAAGAGAGAGGTAATCCAGTTAGTGGGGGAGAGTGGTTACTGAAACTTCCATAGTTAATAATAAAGTTACTGTAAAAGTCCTTGCTTATGATTATTTTCACACTATTCACAATTCCAAGGCAGGGGAATTTTTATGAATTTAATTTTCAAGCAAAATTCATGATTCAAAATCATAATGAAAGATTTGCTTTGTTAGTAGTTGAGCTAAAGCAGAAAAAGAAAAAGTTAAAAAGAAAACAAAACCATAATTATAAATTATAATGAATAATAATAATTTAAGTGTAGATAAACAACTTGACGGTTAACTTTCTTCCCCCCTCTCTCTCCCCTTCCCTTTTATCAGGTTCAAAGTCTATATATTCCCAAATAAACTGGAGTTGGTTCCATAGCCAAAATGAAGCCTGCAACAATGGCATCATCTTCTTCTTTCTCTCATTTACTCTTTTCCTTCTTTACTTTTTGCCTCATTTTATCATTCTCATATGCAGCACAATTCTCAACTCCCTACTTACCAAAACTCCAGGCGGAAAAGCTCATAAGAGGGCTGAACTTGTTTCCCAAAAATGATATCAACACTGCTTTAGCTGATACTTCAGTTATGGCTCCAAAGATTGTTGAAAAGCAATTCAGTTTGAATCCTCTTGGTGATCCAAAGCCTTCTGTTCAAGAGTTTGGTCACCATGCTGGGTATTACAAGCTTCCTCACACTCAAGCTGCAAGGTATGGCCTCAGCTTTTTATCAAAATATAAATTGGTTTTGAGACTATGAAAGCATAATCAATCAAAGAAACCAGTTGGTTATAAATATTTTTTGGGGGTAATGTGTATTAGTGTTTGTTTTTTAACTTAAAACTTTGTATAAAGATAAAAAAGAGGAATTAAAAAGTCGCTGCATTTAACAATTTTTCTGCAGTTTAAAAAGTTAAGGAGTTCCCAAATGTCATTTTGTTTCTTCCATTAAACGGATTTTTGGCTTGTTTTGTATGTGTCAATGAAATAGCTTCAACATAACAATTTTGCTGAAAATTGTCATATAATTAATGCTGTCATATAACTAATGAAATATGTATTTTACAGGTGACCCTGACCTTTTGTCTTCTTTCCCTCAAAATCTGATCATTTGCAGGATGTTTTACTTTTTCTTTGAGTCACGAAATAGCACAAAAGACCCTGTGGTTATATGGCTTACAGGCGGTCCAGGATGTAGCAGTGAACTGGCTTTGTTTTACGAAAATGGTCCTTACCATATTGCAAACAATATGTCTCTTGTGTGGAATGACTATGGCTGGGACACGGTAAAATTTTAATAAGATTATCTGGATAGTCTTCTGTAATACAAACCTCTGCTAGCATGTCTTCCTTTATGGACATGGTAAAAGAAGAAGTTTTTTTGGTGCCAAAAGTGAATATATAAACATTTGATGTTGGCAGGTATCAAATCTTCTGTTTGTGGACCAGCCAATTGGAACTGGTTTCAGCTATACTTCAGACGAGAGCGACATTCGTCACGATGAAGATGGTGTTAGCAACGATTTGTATGACTTCTTGCAGGTCCATTTCATCTCCAGACTTTTTAAGTACTATTTTAACGGGATCTTTAACTTCAAATTTACAACACTCTTAACTTAATTAGTTATTTCTTCAACATTAGGCTTTCTTCAAAGAGCGTCCTCAGTATGCTATGAATGACTTTTTCATTACTGGAGAATCCTATGCTGGGCATTACATTCCTGCTTTTGCTGCTCGGGTTCACAGAGGAAACAAAGCGAAGGAGGGGATTCATATTAACCTGAAGGTATCTCTCAAATTTTTGTGTAGCATTTATACTTCGTTGCTGTATTTGCCCTTTTGAGTTTTGAGGGTTGGATTTAACCCTAAATTGTTGAATCAGGGATTTGCTATTGGCAATGGCTTGACTAATCCTGAAATCCAGTACAAAGCATACCCGGATTATGCTTTGAACATGAGGTTGATTAACCAATCTGATTATGAGAGCCTCCTGAAGGTGATTCCAACCTGTGAAAAGGCAATAAAAACTTGTGGTATGAATTCCTCTCCCTCTCTAAGTTCAAGTTCAATTCCATTGCATTATTCTCCCTTTTCATTTAGTAAATCATTTCGATCTACCTTGTCAGAATCTGAGGGGGGAGATGCTTGCTCTGCTTCATATGTTGTTTGTAACAATATATTTAACAGGATCATGAGGATAGCAGGAGATGTGAATGTAAGAAAGAACAAAAGATATACTTAATTTTTCTTCTTGAAACCTTATTTTAAAACAAGTTCAATTCCGATGAGATCTTTTTATTTCTTTGATTTGCAGTATTATGATATTAGAAGGAAATGTGACAGAGACTTGTGCTACGACTTCTCGAACATGGAGACATTCTTGAACCAGGAATCAGTTAGGGAAGCCCTCGGAGTCGGAAACATAGACTTTGTTTCCTGCAGCAGTAGGGTATATGAAGCAATGCTGGTGGACTGGATGAGGAATCTTGAAGTTGGAATTCCAGCCCTTCTTGAGGATGGCATCAGGGCGCTTATTTATGCTGGAGAGTATGACCTTATATGCAACTGGCTTGGTAAGCATTACCGTTTTACCAGAAGTCCCTGGAGTCATTTAACAACATTTAGAGCATCTATGATCATAATCTATTTTAATTTTGACAGGAAATTCAAAGTGGGTTCATGCAATGGAATGGTCTGGGCAAAAAGATTTCGGAGCAGCTCCCACTCTTCCATTCAAAGTTGATGGCGCAGATGCAGGGCAAATGAAAAGCCATGGCCCTCTCTCTTTCCTCAAGGTTCACGATGCCGGCCACATGGTTCCCATGGATCAGCCAAAAGCTTCACTACACATGCTAAGGAGCTGGATGCAAGGACAACTCGCCATGCCAAAGACACAACACGGTATTTATCGAACATGATAGCCTCAATTCACCTGTCCTTACATACAAGGTTTTCGAATGGTAAGTCCAGGCAATGAATAGGTCTACTATGGTTGCCACCTGCTGACCTAAAAGAATTTGCTGCCAGCAATACTTCCAAAGTTCCTTGGCTGGAATTGGTTTTTTTAATATTTATTCACAGCAATCATTTTATACATGTTAATTTCTTGTATTTGTCTCCGGTGTATTCAATTTAAATGTAAATCTTCGTGCTTCCTGAGTAGATGAGTATAAAAGATTGCACAGTGAACCTATCTAAACGAGTGTCATTAACTACAAATTTCAGCTTATTGCATCAAACTTTAGCATAACCGTTTTTCCCGTAATGACTTTACAGAACAACTTTATCTCTTTTATTCGAATCTCATGTAAAATGATAGATGCTACAGAAAGATTTTTCTTAATCCCTGATATAATAAAACAAATCTTTTATCATATTTCCCACCATAACAAAGAGCAATTCAAGATGCTATCGATATTTATGAGGAATCCAATTCATTATCTACAGCCAATGACTGACATTTACTGAATATGCTTTTACTTATGAGCATTCACATCATAAATTCTCATTTCAATGGAAACGTTCAGTACCAAAGACTGATTAAAATTTGCTTAATTAACAACTGAGACTAGAAATTGCAATAACCAGTATCAACAAAATGTATTACAAGAGTACTTAATAATCGACATATCCATTCAATATTTCACAGCAATAATCAAGGACCAACTCTTACCCCATACTTTTCTCTCAATATCTCAATTGCTGGCCTGAAACCCGAACTCAAAGGAACAACTGTTGTGACACGCAGATGCTGTGCATTGCCATTCTTTGGTTTGGTGAACGTCATTTTAAACATCTCTCCCTGCAGAACTTTACTGGCTGTCACAGCTGCATAAGGAATTCCATGAGAAAAGGGTCAAAACTAGAGAAGCCCCAACTGCGCAATGTCAATATTCTCATATGGAACACTCAAAAGTCTTGAGATTAGAATGCAAGCTTTGAAAACTATAACATTGCATCACAATTGGCTTTGAAATGACAATGAAAGCGACTCCTCATAGAACCTTTGTTAAAAAGACACTTAAAACATGTACAAACGGAAGATTTGTAATCAGACCTTTTAGCTATATAACCATCTCCAAAGTCGATGGATTAAAGATTGGTAATGTCAGGTCTGCCAAGTGTCAAAAGTGACCCCACACCAAAATAAAAGAAAGAAAAAGGCAAGTGCATTGTTACACAAGCGAAGTAAAACAGAGAACAAAGAGAAAAGAAAGTGGGGAGAGGTAGCTGCAAAAATAAATTAGGAACAGGGTTTCAATTTTTAACTTGATCATTGAATGGTCAAACAAACTGCATTTTTGCGAATTAGACAATTTTGGTATTAAGTTCTACAACTCTAATGACTTAGACACTTGATTTATCTTCTCCGTAATGTTATTTGTCATACTCAATTCAGCACAAAACCTTATTTTTTTGTTGCACTGTGTTGAAATCCATCTTCTGATGATGTTTTTATGAGAAGCTGTTATTATGACAGAAACAGAGAGTAGTATTCCCTTGATAAATATTATTGAGAATCTGTAATATCATATCAGTAAAACATAACTTTGATAATTCTATTAGAGATCTTGATACCAGACAACAGTCCCATGGTTTTCTAGGGTTAGAATCTATTATTAAATCGAAAGATAGATTCTAACATAATGCAACAAAAAGTAGTTTGTGTTTAATTAACTAAATATTTTAAAAAAAAAAAAAAAATTTTTATTTTGATATATTTAAATTTAAATTTTTTTTATTTTTTTTTTCTATTATTTTTTTTTTTTTATTCAAATTCAAACAAAAACAAAATTTATTTCACCATATCATCAACTGAAAATTGAAACGCTTAACCCCAATTCGTTGTCTCCTTTCCCTGCTTTCGATTTCTATTCCACTCACTTAATATCCACAATGCAAATTTGCCTTTTGTTTCTTTAATTCTGGAATTAGTTTTATATAAATACAACCTTTTAAATTCAAACTTCTAGTTGCTCATATCCAAAGTGATTATTGTTTGTTATAAGGAAATCTTAATTAAATGAAGAAACAACAAAAAAGAGAGATTATTATTCATGCCCAAGAGTTATAAAACACTCTGAATGTAATTCTCAACAAATATTAAAAAAATCAAATAGAAATTACCAGCAAAGGGGTGAAGCTTGGCAAAATCAAAGAAGTGATCAGCAGAGCAACCGAACAAAACCCTAGCAGCCCGATCAAAACATATCACCACCTTCACTTTTGTGTCAGTTGCTATAGAAATCTGTCAAAATCAGCCCAACAAAAAGCCTATCATTACTTAAACCAAATAAACATTTAATTATCTATCCAAGAAGAAGGATACTTACAAGGAGACGGAAGAGACGTTTGGAAGAGGAGACAGAATTGTTGTTATTGCAGTTGCAAAATTTGCAGAGAGAAGACGGGTTTTCGGGGAGAGTCCTCTCACACACTGAACAAACCCTGTAGCAGAAATTTGTGTGGTCCATGCCTAAAACTGAACACACAACTGTTAATGCTTTATTATCTTCCATTTTCTGATCTTCGGGGCTTTGTTGCCTTTGCTTACTCTAAATTAATCCACAGAAACAAATGACCCAATTCCGTTCAACTGTTGAAGGGTTGAAGCTACTGTAAATCTACTGATCGATTCATTCTTCTACTTTACCCGCTCTATTCGAAATAGCCCGCCAAAATCTTTGATTATTTGGTGAGGATCAATTCAATTATCCCTAAATTAAGGACGGGGTTAAAAATAACCATATTGAAATTTTAGAAATTAAAAAAATAAAATACCCCCAATTTATATATATATATATATATCTTTAAAAGGAGTTTATATTATTATATACGTTTATTCATGCTGAAAAAAAATATCAAAAAATCCTCTCAAAACACTGGTTATTTTTCTATGTCGTCTAGGGAATTAACCGTTTGGTATGAGTCGTATGAGGCTTAAGCTTTTATGGAAATAACCACAGTAACAGCAAATATCCTAACGTTATATTCTCAAATAAAATGTAAAATATATCAGCAGAGAAAAAGAGAACTAGCTTGTCAGGAATTGTTGCTTCTGTCAAGTGAAGGCTAATGACAAAAGATAAACAAATCCCTAATATACTATGGCCTCTGAAAACCTCAATTTCAGCTGCAATTCTAAACTCTAATCATTACTCAATTCCTGGCCAGAAAAGAAATAAAATTTAAACCCCATTAAAATAAATGCTTCCCTCGTCTGGAAAAAGAAAGAAATGGAACAGAACAAAACTTGTCACAGAAAAGCATTTAACTCAGTAAGTAGGCTCTAAGCGTTGCTAGGTTTGAGAAGTTTCACAGTCTCCCAGGTGAAATCCGGATCATCACGGCCAAAATGCCCATAGGCAGCAGTCTTCTGATACCTGAAGTTGCCTCCCCTCTTCAGATCAAGATTGATTGAGATCATCCCTGGCCTGAAATCAAAGTCCTCCTTAATCAGAGCCAATATATCCTTATCTGGAATCTTTCCTGTACTGTAAGTATCCACAAACACAGACAACGGTTCTGGCACACCAATTGCATAAGAAACCTGCACAATACAACGTCGTGCAAGGCCTGAAGCAACCACACTCTTTGCAGCCTGCCTGACAATATAAGCACCACTGCGATCCACCTTGGTAGGATCCTTGCCCGAGAAGGCACCACCACCATGAGCACCCCAGCCGCCGTAAGTGTCAATGATGATCTTCCTACCAGTAAGCCCTGCATCCCCATGTGGTCCACCAATGACAAAACGTCCTGATGGGTTGAGGTGGAAGATTGTGCTGTCATCAAGGTATTGAGCTGGAATCACAGGCTTAATCACATGCTCCTTGAGGTCTGCTGCAATCTGCTCATTGGTGACAGTTTCATCATGTTGAGTTGAAATGAGTATAGTATGGACCCTCAGTGGTACCATGGCTCCACCTTCATTCCGATACTCAACAGTCACTTGGGTTTTCCCATCAGGCCTCAGCCATGGGCAAGTTTTATTCTTTCTCACCTCAGTAAGTTTGGCTCCAAGTTTGGTAGCGAGAACATGAGTCAGCGGCATTAGCTCAGGTGTTTCATCAGTTGCATATCCAAACATGTGACCTTGGTCACCAGCACCAATTTCCTCAGGCCTCTTGCTCAGGTGGCCATGAACAACTTCAGCAATTTCAGGGCTCTGTTCTTCAATATTGACAAGCACCTTGCACTTATCAGCATCAAGGCCAACATCAGCGGACAGAAATCCAATACCTCTGCAAGTGTCACGGACAATCTTCTCATAATCCACCTTGGCCTTGGTGGTGATCTCACCAAAGACCATAACCATATTTGTCTTGGTACAGGTCTCACAAGCAACTTTACTCTCAGGATCCTTTTCGAGACAAGCATCTAGGATTGCATCAGAAACTTGATCACAAAGCTTATCAGGGTGCCCTTCATTGACAGATTCAGAGGTGAAGAGAAAAGTCTCCATCACTAAGCTTCAAACAGAACATCACATTTTAATGTCAGTTCTCTACACTTACAAAATCAAAGTTTCAATGAAAATCAATCATTCTCAAAACGAAATATAAAACTGTCACAACATATGTGGATGGAGAAATCCGAAATCCAACTAGTTCTTAAAGTAGAACACTCAAGTTCTCCTTCAAACGGTTAAAATTAATCACCTAAGCTTCAGACACCTTTCACAAGCATAAAGCAACAAAATTTACTTGAGAACCCTCTCTTCTTATACAAAGCCAACACCTAATTCCAGTTTATAAAATCCGAACCCACTTCAATTGAAGAAAAAAATGTGCAATGTGCAAGCTTACACACACCAAGCAAATTTGACAATAAGCAGACAAAACACGCTAAAATTGTTGTTAAGGCTCTAACATGTACCAAATTGCTAAAACCTAAATTTGTGAGCAACAAATATATAGCATCAAACATCAATGCCACTGCCAGGTGCCACAAAAGAATGCGAGTAGGACAAAAAGAAAGCAAATGTATTCTATTTAACAATACAATAAACATGAAACCCCAGTTATAGATTAATAAAGAAACAAGATTACAAAAACCCCAACAAAACATGATCACAGAATTGAAGCAAACAACACTACACATAAAAATATTAGGCAATTCTACATATAAAGATGAAACAAGAAGACAAGGGAGAACCAAAAAGTCTATTGTTTGGGTTGAGCGTACCTCTCAAGTCAAGAGAAATAAAATACGAGGAATTGAAAAGTTACGAAAAGAGAGAGAATGAGTTGGGGGTGAAAAAGGAAGGTTATATAGGATACAGAAATTACGGTAAATTGGTTGAACGTAGACGTGATTTTGGTTAGTGTTGGAGTTCATTCATGATCCGATTATCTTGGTGTTGGGTTGGGTTGCTGTTTTAGGTGGGCTGGGCTTTGGGGCAACTTTAACCGGTTGAACTGTACTTTCTTATGTATATACGGGCTTTGCTGATTAATTTGAGCTTTCTAACTAAGGACCATCAAATTGATCATTGTTAAATACATTTTTATTATATTTTTGAAATCTCTTTAATATACAAAACAACCATGCTTAATTAGAGTTTTTATTGCACCCCTTTTCTTCCAATTTTAAACTTAATTAGGGTTTTTTATTACACCATTTCTCCCCAATTTCAAACTTAATTAGGGTTTTTTATTGCACCCATTTTCCCAATTTCAAACTTAACTAGAGTGTTATTTATTTATTTTTTTTAATTTTCCCCAATTTCTTAATTAGGATTTTGTTTATACTCTTTTTGCTGATTTCAAATTTGAAACTTTCTTTCTTTCTTCTTGAGATTCAAAATCATCTCGTCGTGTGATTACTTTCCTCATAGTATTAGTATTTTTATCAAACAAACAATTATTTAAAATAAAAAAATTATTTAAAAAGTATATTTTCTTAAAACAAACGATTTCAATGATTTTTCCTCTTCTAAGATACAAGTTTCATGATTTTGGTTTTACTTTTAATTATAATAAGTTGCATAGATGTCAAGAAGAGAATTGATTTTTAGCAAAACGGGTAGAAATGCTAATCAACTTTTTCATCCAAGTCAGATATTTTTAGCCCAATGGTAGATATGCCAATAAATTTGCTTGTGCTATTGTGTTAATAGCTAGACATGAATATTAAATTATTTTAAATGTACCAATAATTATCCAAGTCTACCCAGTATATAACATTCTAAAGAAGAAGACAAACCTTATTGACATTTGACAGCAGTTTGGCAGTGTAAAGTATAAGCTATTGCCAGTTCAAAGTTACACATTATAGCAGTTTGATAGCAGTTGGTGATGTTTGGCTTTTGAGTAATTAAATGATGTTGATTGCTTTATAATACTGTTGTAACCTGCCATTATAAGGGTGTTTTGTTCTGTTATGTTCCAAGTAGAGTTTGTTAGAGTATGTTTTATTTAGGGATGAATGAGTAAAGAAGCACAAATTATGGATATTTTTGACACCTTTGTATGTATTGCAGATGTCCTCCACCGGTGAAAATACTAGTACTACTTGTGGGGTTGGGTTGGTTGGCAATGGCACTAATATGTCAATCTCAGTGACAAAAGGTCAAAATCCTACTCCAACTCATGTGAGTTCTATGCCTCCATGACCAACTACAGCTCCCAAACGAGTGAATTCTACTACTAGGAAGAATGCTTCATAAATGTGGGACCATTTCACTAAAAACCCTTGTGAGAATAAGGATAATACGACAACTACATGTAATTATTGTGGGTCTATGCTTGCTTGTTCAACCAAAAGTAGTACTACGTACTTCTCTACGTAACCACTCAGCTAAGTGTAAAAAATACCCTTTTAATGTGGTGGACAAGAAACAAAGAACCTTAGTCTTTCAATAGCACTCGAGTGAGCACTCAAGTGGTGTTGCAGCTACTTCTGCCTCCGCTTTACTTTTGGCTTGGAAACTTGATTAGGATTTGATTAGGGATGCTATAGCTAAAATGATAATTACTAATGAGTTGCCCTTTAGGATAATGGAGTGTGAGGGGTTTCGTCGAATGATGAGTATTGCACAACCTAGGTTTCAAGTACCTAGTTGTACAACTCTGACTAGAGATTGTTTGAAAATTTATTACGATGAGAGACAAAAGTTGAAGAATCATTTTAGTAAGTATTCTCATAGTGTTTGTCTGGCCACTAACATGTGGACTTCTTGCAAAAACCTTAATTACATGTGTCTTACGGCTCACTTTATTGATGATAATTGGAAACTGAACAAACGGATTTTAAACTTTTGTCCAATTACCAATCATAAAGGTTTAACTATTGGCAAGTCAATTGATAAATGTTTGATTGATTAGGGTATTTCTAAGGTGTTCACCATGACTGTTGGCAATACAAGTTGTAATAATGTTGGAATAACTTATTTTAAGCATCGGTTAGAACGTTGGAATGGAAGTGTCTTGAATTGTAACTTTCTTCACATGAGATGTTCTGCACATTTGTTGAGTCTAACTGTTAAAGAGGGGTTAAAAGAGGTGAATGACTCAATATTTAGAATTCATTTTGTAGTGGGGTATGTGAGGTCTTCTCCAACAAGATTACAAAGGTTTAAGGAGTGTGTGGAGCCAGAAAAGTTGGAAACTAAAAGTCTTATAGTTCTTGATGTAGAAACAAGATGGAATCTCATTTATTTGATGCTGGAGGTGGCTTTAAAATTTCAAATAGCATTTGAGTTATTGGAAATTCAAGACCCTAAGTATAAAGATGAGCTTATTATTGAGGAAAGGTAAAGGGGTTTGCCTACGTCTACTGATTGGGATTATGCTCGATACTTTTTGCCTTTTCTGGAAGTTTTTTATGATACAACTCTACGTGTGTCTGGCTCTCTTTATGTTACCTCTAATGGATACATGGAAGTGATATATGACATTGGGTTGAAGATAAATACACAACGTAATAGTAATGATCCTGGCTTACATTTAATGGCAGCTAAGATGAAGGCAAAACATGATAAATATTGGGCAAATGTTGATAATATCAACTTAATGATATTCATGCAGTGATATTGGATCCTAGGCACAAGTTAGAATATGCATATTGTGCTATTGATAATGCGTATGATGTTGTTGATGTTGAGAGGCTGAAAAAAAAGTGAATGACACTTTGTTCTCTTTAGTTGAGGAATACAGTTTGCGTAAGACTAGTCCTAGTGCGCAGTCAAGTAAGCAATCTCAAGTTGCAAGAGGGATTGATGTTACTGATGCAAATGTTGCTTCTAAAGTCTTTACGAAGGTTATGTTTAATCAACAAAGGGCTGGACGACATGCTCTGGAGCCCAAATATGAGTTGGATAAATATTTACGGGAGAACGTTGAAGATGAGAACAACCATAACTTTGATATCTTGAGTTGGTGGAAGATAAATTCAGTAAGATAATTCTTTGATAGCACGAGCTGTTTGGCTATACCTGTTTCTACTGTTGCATCCGACTCATCTTTTAGTACCGCGGGTCATGTATTACATCCATTTCGTAGCTCTGTTACTCTTAAGACGGTGGAGTCTCTTATTTATGCACAAGATTGGATTCGAGCTATACGTGCATAATTTCTCATTAAGGAGAGCTTGGAGGAATTATTGGAAATTGAGTCAAGTTAACTTTTGCTTTAATTTCAAATATTTAATATTTAGGGCCCATGTCGATGGGGGTAATATTAGATAACTAGGGTAATATTTTTTAAATTGAGCAAATGATGATGTTTGGTTGATTTGTAAAAAAATTATTCCCGAAATCTTTTATGACAAACAATGGCATTTGGGGGTTAAGTTGCTGGGAATATTAATACCTTAGGAGGGGCTGTTATTAAAACTTACCCAAGGTAATCTAATTTTGTTTCCCATATTGTCCCTAAACAATTGAGTATTTGGTCCAAATTAGCCTTATATTTGTTAGGATTTGCAAAACACTCAATTCACTCATGCAAATCCTTTTGTCCTCACTTTTTAAAATTTCTGAACGACATTGTCCTTGTTATTGTCATTATTTATAGATATGTCATTGTTCCCAGAACTAGCCACCACCGCTAGCCATCGTGGACAGCAGCTGGAGGCTTCCAAAAGTCACCATAATGGTGTACGACCGACTGTATATGGCCAGTCATGCACCGATGAGGCTTTTTTCGACCATGGATCTGTCAGAAATGGCCAAATCTGGCCGTGAAATGGCCAGATCTGTGGCTATTTCACAGCCACATCTTTGGCTATGGCCAGATCTATGGCACTACCGACATCACTGCCAGATCTATGGCACTATTTGCAGCCGCCAGCAGTGGTGGCTAGCTTCCGACAGTGACTTGGGGTGGGTAGGGGTATTTTTGTTAAGTTTAAAACGTTTTTGCCTGCTAGAGTGTTTTTGTTAAATTTGAAAAGTTGGGGGTTAAGAAAATTATTCAAAAAAGAATAATAAAAAATACTATTATATTAATATTTAAAATGAGGGCAATTTAATAATCTATATAACATACCCACCCATTTATCCTCCCAACCAAACATATTATTCACCAATTTATTCGAACTAACCAAACATATTTTATAAATATTCCCAGTAATCTTTAAGGTGATTTTTTATTCCGTTAATATAAGATCCCCCTATAATAAAACATTATAAAATCCAAACGCCCCCTTATTTATAACTTATATCTTACTTATTGACTCCCTTTTGTACCATTACTTATATTATGTTATTTCTTATCTTTACGTAGAATTTTCGTCTACGACATTGGAGAATACTCGCAGTCATGGTCATCTACATGATTGATGATTCAAACCATCTCTATGACATTTTGTATTGGTGCAGCCTTTGGAAGGTAGAATATGCAATCTCATTACCTTTTTCCTTTTTCAAATGACAAATTAACCCTTTTACTTTAATTGAATTGCTTATAATGATGAGTAAAGTTTGTTGGGTTATGCTTATAATGATCAGTAAAGTGTGAATTGCAGGGTTGATTTTGATGGTAGTGATGCTGGTTTTTGGGTGGTAGTGATCCTGAAAGTTTGCTCTTTGCTGGTGTGATTCTGGGGCATTTTGCCATTTTTTACAAGTTTTTGTTGTTGTAGTATTATGTTTGGTGGATTAGATGCAAAAGAGATTTTTCATTTCTTATTTTCTATTCACTTTTTGGTGAAACAAGTGTAAAAAGACTTTAATTACTCATCATCTTCTTCTTCTTCTCCATTTATTTTTTTTTTTTTTTTGCAAATTATGAATTATATTTGTTTGCAAAAAATTTGATGTTTAATGTATATTAA